GCACACACGACTTTTTATTACCAGGTTAACTGTGTTTTTGTGTGGGTAGATGCACTGATACGACTGATACTGATATAAATATATATATATATATATATATATATATATATATATATATATATATATATATATATATGTATATGTATGATATCAATACATATGGTCGATACGACAAGCACGCATGTTTTCTGTGTATGGGGCGGCAACCATCTGGCTGCATTAACGGATTAGGTTATGGGGTTTGGGGCCCAAGCCACTCGGTCAAATCACATGACCAACCCGTTTGGTTGGGTTTAGGGTCCAAGCCATTCGGTCAAATCACGTGACCAACCCGTTTGGTTCTGTCTCAGGGCGCAGCACTCCATGTAAAACAGCGATGCTTTACTTAAGCTAGGATTTTGGCGTGACCTGCGAGCGGCGCGAAAAAACTTTGATTGGAAGTTGGCGTCATTCCACAATTTGCAATTCAATTATGACATGGTATGAACAGCCGTAATCAGGATAATAATGATCAATAATGCTCAACAATACTCAGTTGTGTTCAATTACTTATAATGAACAAGTCTCATTGACCAATATTTGTGCTGGCTTGAGGCTAAAAGGAAGATGTCTCAATGGGGTGTTTAAAATGCGCAGCACGAATGACTGGTGAGGATGAAGTTTTATGTCACTCGTGTATAAAATGCACGCGCTATTAGCAGGACCGCCAGGCCAGTTTGACTTTATGAGGGCTAGTTCTCCATTAGCATAACTAAGTGCTAAATGACTTTCTTGAAAATAAGTTTTACTGGAATGCTGCACGATTGATACGATTGATCACGATTGATCACTAAATAGCAGCATTCTCTGCCGCACACGGAGGAGTACTTCTCTCTTGCAGTTTGGAAGTCTGATCCAATTCTGAATCGCTGTATCCCCCGGACTTCTAATGCGGCGTCTTGCTCAACAAGCGTCAGATATGGAGCTGAGTAACACCGTCCTTTCTTCCTCATCCTTGCTTCATCTTGTATCCCCGCGGCGCTACATTTATCAGGGGCTACATGTACCAACCATGAGAGGACTTAAGTGGCCACAACGTGGAGCTTCTTCACAAGCGCCGTGTACATGTCCCGTATGGTTGCCGGACAAAAAGTCGACTGCGAATAAACGAACGACACAAAAGTCAACTAGAATAGAAGTTGAATCGTAAAAAATCCGCGGACTACACGTCGGAAGGGATAAGACTTGATTGAAAGAACAAACGAAAAAGCCCCAGCATAAAATGTTGAAAGGGATGCAAATTGACTGTGGAAAAAGTAGAAAACGGAACATTCAAAGGAGAAATTTCGAAGGAAAAGGGATGAAAAGTCAAATTGGGAAACAATTCAAAGGGCAAGAAATCTGCAAGATGGAAAGTGGATTAGGATAAATGTGAACAAGCATATATATATATATATATATATATATATATATATATATATATATATATATATATATATAAGGATTTAAGGTAAAAGAGTTGTCAGCAACTGATGCGTGGCATGGCAGGGGATGGTCCTATTGCTCTCGGGTGCGCCCGTGGATCCAATGGGCTCAGGTAGCTCACGACCTTCGTCCTTTTATCAACAAACATATTTTGTCGTGAACCAAACGTTGATGACTGCATATTTTCCTTCATGACATTCTGCACATTAAATATTTGGTGGAGCTGGGCTGCTTCTAATGTTAAAGTTCAGAATTTCTGGACACTTTGAACGTCAAGCCGTCACATATACAACAGTCCTGCGCGTGCTGAGCCAAAGGTCGTAGCTCTGCAGGGTACCAGGGTGAAGCTCCTAGGTGGGCCCAATAACCCTAAAAGCTTGTATTCTCAATGGAGCGTTACGGCTGTAGAGTTCGTGCAAGCGATGGGCAGTAGCTGCGCCGGCCATCGCCCTTCCTCCATCACTCTAGCTAATTCCCATCACTCAAATCACCTGCCGGTACTGTCACTGCTTTAAGATACCATGCGAAAACATAACGACATATCGTGCAAAGCCACATTTCCGTTTTGGCCACATTTTGATCACACGTTCCATGCACTGGGGTCACAACGAGCATTTACTCACTCGAACCTTGCATTCACTTTCGTCGTTGTGACCACATTGGTTTTAGTAAAAGTGCGGTTTACAACAATGCCTTTCTCCGAACCAATTAGCCGCAATAGTCAAATGCTCGTAAGACACTTTTATGCCGCGTAGACACATCACTCGTCGTGGGCAAAGCCCAACTTCGGTAAAGCGCTGAAGTCATACAGACCACATGCATGATGTGGCGAAAAGCGTGGTGGCTGGTTTCCTTCTAGAATAAGTGTCCGTATAAGCCTCGTCAAAGAGGGTTATTTGGACTTTAGCTTAATAGTGTCGGTCTGGTCACAAGGGCGCTGATGTCGTGTGGCTGCATGACACGGCAAGGGTTCTTTCATGCTGTTTGGACAACGAACTAAGACAAAATTGATCTACTCAACGTGTATTACAATAATGGGATGGGGAGTTCGGAGCGCTGGCAATAAGTTATATTCAGCATGAAATCAGGGTTAAAAATTGTCCCAATTTTTTGTTTTGTTTCTTGTCTTGCTTATCATTTTCTAGCTCAACAATACATTTCATCTGAACTAGCAATGTAACGGCCAAAAAAGATGTTACCCGCCTTTGTTTTATCATGAGGCCTTTCAATAAAGCACTTCGGCTTTCAACCTCAAGTAAAATAATGTTCGGTTCGTAGCCCACAATGGGAAGGGAGCAAAAATCGCTTGGCATAGATACCACAAGACGGGTGAATTAGTGGCGTCAATATCATGCTTAGGTTGAGGGGAGAAAGAGAATCCGGGCTTACGTTTGGCAGGCAAAACACAAAAAATAGAAAATGGTTCACCGTTGATAGCTCAAGTTACCCCAAGTTTGATGAAATGATTTTGGGGCTGGGTGGTCACGTTACCCCGCTGTACCCTCCACAGCGACACCACTACGAGAAAGGATCAAATAGGATGGTATGGTCTTGGGGAGACGGCCAACTTAACCATTCGCCTTTGTTATATGTTAGGCAAAAATATTTGGGGGGGCATGTCAAGAGGAGAGGGGGCAGGAAATGCACAAACAAAAGAAATACCTTACAAAATGACGCAAACTGACACCCACGCTATTATATCTGGCCGTAAACAGCGAACGTATCTCCATGAAAGCCAACGCAGTGAAAACACGGCTCAAACTGTCGAACTAACGGGCAGGGCAGTATCCCCTCCCCCCCCCCCCTTCCGCTAAGACGTTTCCAAGAACGCTGGAGGACAGTTTACGGTGCCTGACTTTTTTCAATCTGCTGCATGTTCGAAAACTTGTGGCCCAGGTCATGATCCCTCTAAAGCCATCTGAGGCCAGTGATCTTGAATGGCTTTAGTTCAAGCATGCCTGGACCAGGATGTGGATGAAATTAGGGCATGTTCGTAATGCGTTGAAATGCGGTGTTCTAACAATTTTCATGTTTTGTTTTCACCCGGAAAGGTCACTTCTTACCGTTCAATGATCTGTTTCGTAACTTTAGGTCACTCACTGAACTTTTTCTTATGCTCTAGACCCTGGTAACATCCTCTTCAGTAGCAAGCCTCGTTGCATTTGTTAACTTCTTGTCCGACAGCATTGCTTCTTCACATACAAATGCAATTTTGGCCTCAGTAATCACGATAGTTCACTAATCAACGCTGATACCGAAGGTCTACACTTCGAAACTTTTGCATCAGTTCCGCTCAATAAAGTCACTTGAACATCTAAATAGTGACAAAAGACCAAAACATGAAATATTCAAGATAGCTACCGCAGTTATATCAGATAATATTGAGACTTGCTTCGGTATTTTTTGTTAACCTTAAGCATAATGCACTCCTGCAATCACTAAAAACACTCCTTCTCATGGGTACATGGTACTGTAATCTTACAAAGTTCAACATAGGTTGGTTCAGATTCGAACTTAAGTTCTGTTGACTTTAGGTCTGACATTGTCCATGGCTGTCGCCTGTTAAAATATGTTCTTAAAATAGTATAACTGATAGGCAAAAACACTATTTATGGAAATGGAACAGCAATGACCTGTATGACCCATGCTGAGCAGGTAAAACAGCCTTGGTTAATGCCAAGCGTACAGGTACAGTCCTTACAACAAATCAGATGGATAGGTTCCCATACAATAATCTCAAAAAGTGATCCATGGCAAAACGATCAAACAGGAAATAAAGTCATTTGACCTGGTATGACCTTGGTCTTGACCCCGAATAACACAACAGTTAAGGCAAATCATGTCAAGCTTTCATCAACTATCGAATGACGTTTCGCTCGTCTTGCTAACCTTTTTCGAACGGGACTGGAGTGAGGGTGGGTATGAAGCCCCGTCAGGGTAACGTTGGTGCTAGCGACCGTGAGTACGAGCCGGAAGATGTCTGGTCAGTGCAAGGCAAACCTGGCGTCGCTTCTCCAGAGCTAATCGTATCAGTCTATTGCAATGTATCGCAGGAATTCACACAGCAAGCATACGCATCACTTTGTCTCAATCCCACGCTTCAAAACCGGTTCCAGCGACCACGCTTCGCAAAGCTGAACTCAGTCGCCTTGTTTGGCAATCGTTGCCGCCTGCGGACCCAACATCTCTCTCCCGGGTGGACAGCGTTCGTCAGCTCCGCCCCTCTGTCCAGGACAGGTCACCCTGGGCCGGTCCGGTCCGGCGGCCAGCGGCTGTCCATTGTGGACGCGATTGTACTGCCGCACCCGCCCGTGGAGCGCGCGCGCCCGCGCGCACCCCAGTTGTGTAAGGGCTGACCCAGAAATTCGATTGCTAATTGTTTCTCGGGCATGAATTGCACGGCAGTCGGCGGCCGCTCCGGCCGGCGCTCGGCCGCGCGCCGACCGCGTATAAATGAGAGCGGTCTGGCCGCTCCAGACATCACTTCATCCCTGGCTGGGCCACTGGCAGCACGCGCCGAAAGCTGCACGCAAACCATGAAGGTGGGCATGACAACGTTCGCAAGAGCTTATTGTTAATAGCTCAGCTCGGACTGAGGGATTGTGGTCACCACATGACTGCTTTGGGCTAGTAACTGGCGAGCATTTTGTGATGACGTTCACTGAGTAGCCAGGCCAGGCATTTAGCCAGCCGACACGCTTCCAATAACGACTTAGAATAAAATCTTGTTTATTCTGATGTTAACTTCTCAGCTAGATTGGTAGGTGCTTTACTTTCCCTCTCTCATTTTTTTTTGTATTTGCTATCGCAGAGCGTAATTCCTTTTAAGCTTAATGACTTCAACAGGCGGACCGGCTATATGCAACATCGTGGCTCAGAAAACAGCTAGCATTGAATGCTACCAATGTTTCGAGCTAAACTTGGCCTTTGCTGCAGGCTGTCATCTTCTTCGCCGTCCTGGCTGTGGCTGCTGCACAGTATCAGGCACCTCAGCCCCAGCAGCAGTACCAGCAGCCCGAGCCCCAGCAGCAGTACCAGCAGCCTGAGCCCCAGCAGCAGTACCAGCAGCCCGAGCCCCAACAGCAGTACCAGCAGCCTGAGCCCCAGCAGCAGTACCAGCAGCCCGAGCCCCAGCAGCAGTACCAGCAGCCTAAGCCCCAGCCACAGTACCAGCAGCCAGAGCCCCAGCAGCAGTACCAGCAGCCTAAGCCCCAGCCACAGTACCAGCAGCCTGAGCCCCAGCAGCAGTACCAGCAGCCTGAGCCCCAGCCGCAGTACCAGCAGTCTCAGCCCCAGCAGCAGTACAAGCAGCCTGAGCCACAGCAGCAGTACAAGCAGCCTCAGCCCCAGCAGCAGTACAAGCAGCCTCAGCCCCAGCAGCAGTACCAGCAGCCTCAGTCCCAGCAGCGGTATAAGCAACCTGAGCCCCAGCAGCAGTACAAGAGGCCTGAGCCCCAGCAGCAGTACAAGCAGCCTGAGCCCCAGCAGCAGTACCAGCGGCCTGCGCCTCAGCAGCAGTATCAGCAGCCCAGGAAGCAGCCCCAGCAGCAGTACCAGCAGTCTCAGCCGGCGCAGTACGCCGAGCCGTCGTACGAGCCCGCGCAATACCAGTACGAGTACGCTGTGCGTGACGAGTACTCGGGCGCCGACTTCAGTGCTCAGGAGAGCCGCGACGGCGACCGGTCCACCGGCGGGTATTCGGTCCTGCTGCCCGATGGGCGCACGCAGAAGGTCACCTTCTACGTCGATGGTTATTCGGGCTTCGTGGCTGACGTGCAGTACGAGGGTGAGGCCCGCCCGTACCAGCCAGAGGTCAGGCCGCAGCAGTACCAGCCTGCCCCGTCCCAGTACCAGCAGCCCCAGGCCCAGCAGGCCCAACCCCAGCAGCGTTACCAGCAGTCGAAGCCGCAGTCCCAGCCCCAGCAGCAGTACCAGGCTGCTCAGCCGCAGCCCCAGCCCCAGCCTCAGTATCGGGCAGCCCAGCCTCAGAAGGCGGCGGAGGAGCAGCAGTATCAGTGAGTGGTCAGTGGCGGCGGCCACGCACCTCAGTTTTGCTCCACCGTCGCTAGGTGGCAAGTGATGTACGTTGTGTCAGTGTTGAGTCACCTTTTACTCATGTCCAGATGCCATAATTTTCCTGCGAAGTCCCAACCTTCTCCAGTCGTGCTGCAGCAGCGCTGACGCTTTCTTTAAGAGGTCTTAATTCAGACGGGCGTGTGTCCAATAGCCGGTTGACCTATGTCAACTAGGCATTTGGTAATCGTAAGCCTCGAAACAACATCAGCTCGATAGTACTTCTGTAACAGACATGCATGGACATTGTACATCCTGACAGGGTATGCGCTTCTTTCTCGAGAAAAAATTTGACGTTTTCAGAAGCTGCGCAGTGTCAACCTGGGAGGAAATCGGTAGCGTGACGGCTGCTTGTCAATGAATGTGCCGCTGTTTGTGACCGGTTTCGTCTGTAAAATGCGCCCATGCATCCGTTTCACTGAACGGGAGTCTATCAGATATCCCAGATGCCGTGCTTGTTATGCATTTTTTGTTTCTCTGTTATGTGTCTGTGTGCTCACACCTACAGAATTCTGTTCCGCATTGTGTAATACAGTATGTGTAAGATTCGTGCGTGTGATCCGTTGTCCGGTGATGAAAAAACAGCTACGTTTGCAAAACATCAAGCCGCGATCTACACAATCCAAAAGGTCTCAAGCCAGACAAAAAGGCCTGAATCATTCAGCTTATCAGATAGTTTATCCGTCTTTGTTATTCCGAAACAGGACGAAAGCTTGCAGCCCCCAGATCAGCTTTTCAACCAGCCTGTTGTTGCCTCGTACGTTTCACCTCATTGTGCCGCGATGTTGTGTTGCCAACACTGCTGTCATGAAGAGTGGCGAGGGTATGGGTTTAAGTGTGATGTAACGCAGCAATGTTTTTGGTTCTGCCGGGCGGGAATTGCAATAGGTGACCCAGGATTATGTTTTTGTCCGGAGCATTACATTGCTCGACGGACCCGCAGCCATCCTGGGCTTCTCCTACAGTGGCCAGTGATGTATGGTTTGATTCTATGAGCAGACAGAATGAAAAACTGTCGCATTAGTTTGTTCAAAGCTTAATCTTGAAGCTCCCGTTTATGCGCTGGCCCTGGTAACTCACTCAACTCAGTTGCATTGGCGAAAGTAAAGGGTTGAAAACACAATGCAAGGTACTAGCAGTACTAAACGATAGTAGCTTATCCTTTTGAACGAACAACTCACATCTGGCAGCTCTAAATGAGGACCACATGGACAAACGCCGCGCGTGAGCCGGTGTTGCCTCCCTCCCCAGTGCCCCCACCCCTTCCCCCGCCGATGGCCATACCTGACACGCGGTGCCAACAGAGGACGACTCCATTCACTCCTTACAGGTGCCAGAATGGCATTGATGCATTACAGGCTTACAAAATGTAGATAAAAAACGGCAGAATTTGTAGGGCATACACGAAAATGACGATTCATAGTTGAATGTCTTGCTGAGTAGAAGCGGACATTGAACTGCTTGCAACGGAACAGCAGAGTTTCGCCGGCTCACAAGTCCCGTGCGTCGGTATGGCGTCGATCAGCCGAGGCTAACGCCGCTCGGAGATAATGTCACCCGTCGGACGCGACGCATGCCTCACGTTTGCGCGGCTTGTGTCACTGGCAGCGCGTGGAGCTTTAACCAAAGCCTTGCAAGCCATACAACGTTACATAAAAGTAACCCGCCTTCCAAAACATTCGACAATGTTTGGAGCGGAGCCGACGGCAGGCTGTTTGATGATCTCATCCGGAAAACATGGTACGCCCATTCTGCTACTTCTGGTGGTTCGACAATCAAAGCGGTTGTTCAGTCCAACTCCTTAGACTAAGTGTCATCGGAAGGCATGATCCGCCCATTCAAACCCGTGCTGAAAATAACGGGCGAAGACACACCTGCGGTACGCCGAGATGTGATTGCTTCCATGTGAGGGAGACGCCTCTTGCGGTGTCGTACGTGCGAGGTAAAAACAAACGCTGCTGTTGGCACCATATAGATATGATGCCTCAGCATGGACGAATGGAGCCGGACGCCTTTGGAAATTCATGTAGAGAGTATTTATTAATGTTTAGGAATATCCATCCTCCGTGAGTTTAGCATGCGGAGGTGTCACGTGTACGCAGGCACATTTACAAATCGCTGCTTTTGTAATATAAATTAATAATATAATATTATTTCTATATCATGTAACTTTGCACGGCTTTCAGCTTGGCATGTAGGCCCGCTTTGGTCGCGCTCAGGGAAGACTGCACACAGACATTGAAAAGGATGACGGGTGCTGCCATGTCAACGTTGAACGCGTTAACTTTGGTCACGCTTATAAGAAGTTAACACGCACAACGCTCTTTTCATTGAAAGTTAACGGAATACTTATCTGCGTTAAACAGAGGACCATTGCGTCCTGCCTTTGTACCTGGAGCTTGGGCGATGTCGACAACTCCAGATCTGCAGCATCACGTCAGCTGATACGGCGCTCGTCTCGCAGCCGGGAGAGCGCGCAGCCCGCGTGTGCATTGCTATGGCAACGCTCTCGGGAGTGGGGAGGGGGAGGCTATCCTCAGCACCGCAGGCCCATCATTGGGCGCCGTGCCAGTGTTGGATTTCCCGGCGGTTCGTGGAACTGCCCTGTGAGTGCTGCACATGTAAACGAGTGGCCCCGGCCAGTGGAGTCGCCTCACAAGGTCAAGAGGTCACAGGCTGCCTAAATTGCGTGATATCTGAGGATTTCACTTTGCCGAGTACCCGTCATAGCTTTGGACTGTTCTGTTCATGGTTCATTCTTTGATGTAACATCGTGGCACACTCACAAATAATTGTGGCTTTTAATACGACATCGTTAAGCACATCAAACACCATAGCCAACATAGTCTTCATGGTCTTAGGTAAACACCTTTGTTTGGCGCCGATTGGTGAAAGGCTTATAAACATAGATTATCGTAATGTTTAGCTGAAGACTATCAAGCATCAACTTTTTATGACACTTGGTCTAGGGCGTTGAACTGAACAACCGCTTTGCCTATCGAACCATCAGAACTACATTTTTTACCATTGCTTTCAACATCGGATATGTTCACAAAGATATCAACGAAGCTTTTATTCGCGAAGAAAGATTGCAATGATGAAAAAGAAAGATTAAAAAGGATAAAAAAACAGAATGTCGACATTCGAAACCGCTAAACGATCCTCACTCGAGAAAGACCGACGAGCAAGCGGGCTCTGCTTCCGCAAGGGGGCAGTGCCGTCGGCGCCGACGGCGCTGATACCGACGACCTAACCTTGGCTCGTGTCTCGACAAAATAAAGTAGATCTTAGTTATGGATTACAAGCTTTGTAACGTTCATGGATCATTCAAACACATTGTTCGTGCTAAGCTACGCCACGCACTCTGAATATTTAAAAGGTATGGTATAGTTGTTGTCCCCGCTTACTTCGCTGCGTAGCGCCCGGCACCGTTGGAGCCGTATGGAGTCGCCTTAGCCCCGTAAACCCGGCTCGCAGCTCACAGTTAATGATGCGCGGCGTGTCTGATAAGTTTCCCTGTGCTTGCATCGGCTGCGTTAATTGGCAATGACCTGTATGTGGGGACGCTAACTGTATTCCTGTTCGAGCTTTGCGATGTGTTTTTGGCGGCTCGGCCCTTGCAAAGCTTGTTTCCCCGACATATACGGCATGCCCCACTGTACCACGCTGTGACCGACACCGCTATCGGACGGACACAAAGTCATGTGAATCGTCATGAGGACTGAGCTCGTAGGTGTAAATTTGACTTCAATCTGTGAAGCTGTCTGTGCCGTGCGTCTAGCTAGAGAATTGTGCACACGCAGACCGACAGGTGAACACTTAATTTAACACATTAGGGATATTGCCAGCACATGAAATCAGACTGTTCGCACGTACGAAGCAATTCGTCAGAAACACGACCACTGCCAACTAACGCCAACACAGAACATAACAAGCCCGCTCCCGAAGCAAAAGCTGGCATGGACTGCGCGGAGGATGGGCGACGGGGCGGCCCCGGCGCGTGCTGATGCGCTCCGTGGGCGGTCGTGCGCGGTGTTGCTCAGCGCGGCGGCTGAGTCACCTCTGACGTATATGGCCCGGGGGCGTGGCACACGGGTCGCTCAGGCGTAACTGGATACTCCTATCCTGCAACATGCATGCATTGTGCAGATCGCATCTCCGAGGCGCTTCCATCGGTGCAGGACGAATGGGAGCCGGCTCTCTTTCCCTCCCTCCCTCGCTCTTGTTTTCTCTTTCATGTATATATATATATATATATATATATATATATATATATATATATATATACATATATATATATATATATATATATATGTGTGTGTGTGTGTGTGTGTGTGTGTGTGTATGTGTGTGTGTGTGTGTGTGTGTGTGTGTGTGTGTGTGTGTGTGTGTTTGTGTGTGTATGTGTGTGTGTGTGTGTGTGTGCTTGTGTGTGTATGTGTGTGTGTGTGTGTGTGTATGTGTTGCACATCCTAAAACGCTCTAAACACACCCATAATGTACCAAGCACGGGCATAATTATACAGGATATCACTGCTTGATTGCGTTACACGGGGTGCGTCCGCCTCCCATGACCCGCAGCAGGGGTCCCGTCTCCTCCTCCCAGCCTGCGCGGACCAGCGCCGCCCACTAGCAGCGACCTTGCTACGGCGTGGAGGGGAGAGTGGGGGGGGGGGGGGGCGGTGGCGAACGCTCCTCGTTTCCGCATCTGCTGACCTCGGCGCCCTCCTACCTCACCC